CATTTCCCTCTGAAAATGAGACATATTATCAGCGGGTGTAAAAGACGGAAGAAAGACGGAAAGGGGGGAGATGGCTTTATTTCCTACGACTCCCATGCAGTATGCCGGTACGAAAGGGAGATAGCTGACAACCATGAGCTGAGAAAACGCAGTGGCAGAGCTTCACTTTTAAGGTCCGTCCCTCTATTGTCTTTCGGACTCCAAGCTAGAGTTGGTGCAAGAGAGAGAAATCGCAAGTGTGCCCTACAGTGTTGCGTCTTCTCTGGAAGTAGCATCAGGTTGGCGTGGGAGGTAAGATTTTGTTGTTAAAATTTTGGTTTTGTTGGTGTGATTTGGTTAGCACAGGTGGGTTGTGATGGGTGCATGAGGAAGAAATGAGTATTTAAGTGCATGGGCATGTAGGTTGGGAGTGAGTTGCAAATCTGACGGTGTTTATGGTTTAAGAAATTCATGCTCATTTTGTTTTAAGTTGTTAAAGATGTGGTGTTTGCGATGTTTTGAAAAGTGGGTGCATATTGAGCATAATACGCTGCTGAAGGAACTTAGGTAGGCGAAAATGAAAGGGAAATGGGTGTGTGGGCTGGAATGGGTTATATGACAGGTAGATGCGCAGAGGAATGATGAAAATATATAGTACGATGGTAAATTTGTTAATTCTAGTTGTGTGTGAGAAAAAGCAATATAATGTTGTGAAAATACTAATTCTTGTTGTCAATTATCAAATTGCTGGTCTAAACGTACATTGTGTCATACTTGAATGATGTGCAGCAGCAGAGGATAAATGGCTAGCAGTAGTGGGAAACAAGTATTTTGCATCTTTCATGTTAGAGGGCACTTTGTAAAGACCTCAGAAGGGAAATTCATTTATGAAGGGGGCATCATTACTGGAAGATTGATTAGAGAAGGGATGACATATGAAGAACTACAATGCATGGTAGCTCATGATGTGTGGCCAAGGACTTGTGAATATAAAATGAAGTACACAGTTAGCTTTGATCGAGACACATTCTTGGATCTTGTTGGTGATATTGGTGTTGGACAGTAATTGAGTACAATAATAGTAGTGGCCATGTTTATGTTTGTGAGAATGAGAAAGACTTCACACAAGTGTCGCAGCTGGATAGTGTACAAGAGTAAGTTGTTTTCAACTGGTTTTATTAAGATTGTGTGTAGGATAAGAAATATGTCCAATTTTAATAAATTGAATTGTAATACTTAATAGCTGTATTTGTTTATGAAGGTTAGATGATTTGGTTGGCCCTTGTGGAATGTCAATATCTCCAATTGAATTGGATCTAGACACAGACAACATAAACATATCTCCCGTACAAGATATGCCAACACTGATAGGAAGTGTAGGTATGGAAATGTTGCCAAACCCAATAGCGGTGATGAATTCATCAAAGTAGGTAGATTTATTGATGTCAAGAGGGCAAACCTTTGTTAGTACTGAACATTTTAGAGAGGCATTATATAAGTATAGGCTTGCACACAAGTTTGGTTACCAGTATGTAAAGAATGATAGGCATAAGATGATTGTGAAGTGCTGTGTAGATGGCTGTCCCTGGGAAATTTTAGCATATGGTGTAGGTGAGAAGAATGGATTCCTAGGTGTGAGAAGATTTAACCATGAACACTTGCATTATGTACAATACAACTTAGTTGTCCCTTAGAGAAGGAGGTGCAAACTTGCTTCAGTAGTCATAATAGAGTTGATTTCTTGCATGCACAAAGCTCCAAATGACATTAGATGGGATTTGGAAAGAGAGTATGGGTTGAGCCTCCACTACCAACAAGCATATAGGGCGAAAGAGAAAGCATTGGCAAAAATTCATGCTTGTCCGCAGGAGTCTTATATGCTAATCCCTTGGATATGTGAAAGGCTAAAGGAAAGTGATCCAGAAACGGTAGCAAAGTGGGTTGCATCATCAGATAATAGATTTCAAGTTGTATTTATTGCATACGGTTGCTATGTAGAAGGGTTTTTGAAAGGTGGTAGACCTATATTATATGTGGATGGATGCTACTTGAGTGGTCCGTACAAAGGAACGTTATTGGGAGCACAAGCGTATGACGCGGATAATGAATTATTCCTACTTGCATAGGCGATTGTTGGAGGTGAGACGCTTGATGACTAGGCATGGTTTCTTGGTATCATAAAGGATATTACAGGATCATTAGAAGTGACAATAGTATCGGATTGACAACTCAATAAAAGGTGCAATGCAAGCCGTGTTTGGAGGAGATCGACATGCTTTTTGCTACCGTCATGTGAAGGAGAATTACAGTGCTGAGTTTTTGAAGATAACAGACAAAGGAAGTTGCACTAAAATTACTTGATTCTATTGCATACGCAAGACTTGATGGAGACTTTGATTGTAGTATGGAAAAGCTAATGGCATTTTGTCCAAAATTGGGACAATGGCTTCAAACAAATGGAGACATTGAGCGTTGGGCACAAAGTAAATTTCCTTACAAGAGGTGGGACAATATCAAAACAAATCTAGTTGAATCCTTTAATGCTTGGCTTGCTGGTGAGAGGAAGCACAACATAACTATCTTGATACATGAGCACAGGGAAAAATTGGCAAACAAGATGTACCACAACAAAGAAGCCATGAGGAATTGGACTAGTGGTGTGGGACCTAATATAGAGGAAAAGTTGATGGATCATGTGGCCAGATCAAAAAGAATGGATGTGTAAAATTATGGAATGAACAATTTCAGGGTCAGATGGGGAAACCTAGATGTGCGGGTAAATCTTGTGTTACGTGAATGCACCTGCAAAGGTTAGTAAATGTCAGGACTACCTTGCCCACATGCATGTGCCACAATCAAGAAGGTATATGGTAATATATGCATATGTTGAGGATTGCTTTTTAATCTCAGCCCAAAAGAAAATTTATGGCAGACTCATGATTCCAGTTGAGACCCGTGACATCCCTAGGCCAGATTCCCTTCGATATGAAGATTACTCGTCCACTATCTTCCTACAACCACCATTGACAACTCGTCGTGCTGGAAGACCCAGAGTTAGGAGGATTGAATCACAATTCCAGTAGAAGAAACTGTATCATTGCTCAGGATGTGGTGAAGCTGATCACACTAGAAAGATTTGCAGTAACCCGAACCCTGGGTGACTTTGTTGCTGAAAATAGTCTTTTATTTTTTTCGTTCAATACACAGTCACTTTTGTACATAAATGAGCCCCACTATGTAGTTGTTGAGTTGTTGGAGAAGTAGCTATGACAACCCATTTTGATTTTTTGGTTGTGGGTTTGATTATATTTTATATAGTGCTATCAATAGTTGAAAAATTTCATGATAGTAGGTCACTATAGCTATCCCAGGTTATGTTAGGCTGTAATCTGTCCACATGCATATAGACTATTTTTAGTTGTAAATATATGTATGTATGTTGCAAATTGTGTAATGTCACTTGCAAACGGGCTCTCCACTGCCTGTCCACTAACGGATAGCTTCTTCAGGTGAAGGTCATCATATGTAAATGGACTGATTACAATTGTGAATATATATGTATGTTGCCAATTGTCTAATGTCACTTGTAAATGGTATACGAAACCACACTTGGACACCTTCTCCAAGTGAATCAGTCCACATGCAAATGGACTATTTTTAGTTGTAAATATATGTTGGTGTGTTGCGAATTGTGTAATGTCACTTGCAAATGAGCTCTCCCCTACTTGTCCACTGACAGACAACTTCTTCAGGTGAGGATCGTCACCTGTAAATGGACTTATTGCAGTTGTGAATATATGTATGTGTGTTGCCAATTGTCTAATGTTACTTGCAAATGGTATACGAAACCATACTTGGACACCTTCTCCAGGTGAATCAGTCCATATGCAAATGGACTATTTTTAGTTGTAACTATATATACCTATGTTGCAAATTGTTTAATCTCATTTGCAAATAGGCCCTTGCACACCTGTTCACCCGCGGACACCTCCTTCAGTACGAGTAGGTCACATGCAAATGGACTATTTATAGTTGTGAAAATATGCATGTATGGTGCGAATTGTCTAGTCCCACTTGCAAATGGGCTGTCCTACACTTAAGTCAGACACATGCATCAGGTGAATCAGTCCACATGTAAAGCCAGGTATGTGTCTTGCAAATTAGCTAGTCCCCCTTGCAAATGTGAATGGACTGATTCCACGTGTGAATATAGGTATGTATTTTGCAAATTGGCCATTTCCCCTTACAAATGCGCTGTCCCCCACTTTTTCCCTCACGGACACATACTTCAGCTGAACCAGTCCACATGTGAATGGACTGATTCCACGTGTGAATATAGGTATGTCTTTTGCAAATTGGCTAGTTCCCCTTGCAAATGTGATCTCCCCTACTTTTTCCCTCACGGACACATACTTCAACTGAACCAGTCCACATGTGAATGGACTGATTCCACATGTGAAGCCAATCATGTGTCTTGCAAATTGGCTAGTTCCCCTTGCAAATGGGCACCCTGTTTAGGTCAAAGATGGCACATGTAAATGGACTGATTCCAGTTGTGAATATATGTATCGGAGTTGCAAATTCCTTAGTTCCTCATGGAAATAGACACCTTATTCAGGTGAAGGAGGGCACTTGCATATTTAAGAGGATGCGTTGTTCAGCTGATGAACAACACTTGTGAATGGTCTAATTGTTGTTGTTAACTTATTTGTCTCTCTTGCAAATTGTCTAATCGTTCGTGCAAAGGTCTAATCCTTAATGTAGGTTGTTTGTTGGAAATGGACGAACATTTGGTGTTAATTCCTATTTTGTTGTTGCAAATTCCCTAATTTCTGTTGTCAACCGTACATCTAATGAAAGTAAACAAGTAATGATAATATGAATCCATCAAAATAGTCTTTATTAATATCTTTTGTATGCACAACATTTAAGTTCGCATAAAGTGTTCACAACAACAATTACAGTGCTTATCAGCAAAAACTACAAGGTAGGAATTTGATCAGTCATCGCTTTCTCTTGCATTATTTGTTAATCTGGTCAAGGTGTTTGGCAACAGCATCTGACTTGATGTTTCTTTTATGAGTCACGAGCCACCACAATAGCTCACACCGTATAGATGTGTATTGATCCTATGGGACAATAATAACTATTCTCAGTAAGTTGACACAAATGCATGATGTCATTAACATATAATTCAACACCTACTGTTGTATAATAAGGCATGGTGAATAGAACTCCATCCTTTTCTTGTGGGTCGGGCCACTCTCTTAGATATATGATGAAATGAACCCCACAATCATCACTGAAAAAATGAACACATCACTATGTTGGCTTATCTATGTCAATTATAATTTATGACAAATAACTTTCAGTGAACAAAAGACTCACGTATTGTCTTGAACATGAACCGTGGGATACAAGATGTCATTGTTTGAATCTAGGTTGGCCAAAGCCTCCAGCTCAGGCTTTACTCTCCTTAGTATTTCAATGAAGTGTGCCCTCTACATAATTACAAATGATTATCACATAGGAGATACTATGGTTGTCCACAAAAGTAGCAGAATAATTACACCACTTACAAAAGTTTGCACCATCATTTGTTGCCCCTTTAATGCTAGATTAGACTTATTCTTCTTCTTTTGGCGCTTCATTGTATCCTCACCACCATGCAGAGAGTCTAGCACATAAAACTTTAGTGTGCTCTGTTCAAACACAAAGCAAAACCAATGTAGTGCAAACACAACAGGTGCAAATATGTATTCACGTTCAGCCAAATTGTATCCCAAGTGTTGGGGGAGTAGTTCTTTCAGATGTTTGTCCACTTGCCATGCTGTGTGTTGCTGCACCATCCTTACCTATCACAATAGCAAATTGTACAGCAATGAAAATTGTCAATGAAGAAACTGTATCGATAACTTGATTACACAATTTAAAGCATTGATCCCTTAATAGGGGATAGCACTAACCGTGAAATCTGCATCAAATATGTGTCTTTTAACCACAGAGGCACTCTTCTATTGGTCAACGTTCAAGGTGTGGGCAATCAGAGTCATGATCTGTAAAATAAAGGAGCAGGAAAATTAAATTAAAATTGTGGCACATTCCATAGATGGCCATTTTGATGTAAATTGAATAGGTGCACGTACCCTGTTGCTTATCCACCCTCTGGGACCCAGTGCTTGTAGGTCTGATTGTGTTGCCAAATGCCCAAACATATCTACCATGACCCTACAACAAATACGAAAGTGAAAATAAGTAGTCAGTGTTGCATAGTAGTATTATTCACAGGTTGTCTTCTCCATAATAACTGACTATACTTACTCTTGAGCCTCATCTGGTTGACACCACTCAGTACACAGTATAAAATGCATCCCTGTCACTCATTTTCACCTTTCTGCCATAAGTAGACATGTAAGGAGATTTAACTATTGGGACTTTACATCTACTTGACCTCCTTATGGGTAGCTGCACTGCTTTACCCACTATTTTCCCTTCTTCGTTTCCTTCTTCAGTTTGAGTTGCCTGTTCATCTTCAGTATCCTTTTTTGTAGCTTTATCTTCTCTCACATTGTCATTCTCGTCTTCATCTTCCTCTTCTTCTTCTTGCTGTTCATCATCATGCGATTTGTCACCACTTTCATGTGTTTCTTCGCCCTCTACAATCATAACATCATCATGTTGTGGCCGCTCATTTTCATCCTCCTCAGTGTGGTGTTCTTTTCCTTCTTCTTCATTGCCTCCCTGGTTAAGAATTTTGTTTTTCAGCTTAACTAATTCATCACAAACAAAGTTTTGAATCTTGGCCATCTCATTGTTCAATGTGTTGTTGAAATTGACCAAAAACTCCTTAATGTCCTGCATATTGTAAATGTACGTCATCAAACAAATATTAAGTCTGACTAACAGACATTACCACATTGGTATTACTCACTGGATGATGGAAACTTCTACTGCTCCTCATTGTGTTGACTCATTCCTTTCAGCAGCCGGTGGACTGTAGAAAATGCTCTCCTTTTCCGTGTCAATTCTCCTCTTCACAGCCTTATCATCCCAATGTTTGACGGTGTCTTTGTCTTTTGGTTCACCTCCCTGCAGAGGGACCCTTTGCAGGAAGTACAACTACAGAGAAAGAAAAAACATGACTCAAAAATCAAATTACATAATACATCAACAGTTTAATGGTCAAACCATATTCAACAAGGCATATTTTGTAAGAAAATATGCAAGTACCAATAAAAAGTAGATGCACCCTCTGACAACTTTGGCACTCTTGGTCTGTCCTTCCTTATTGCTCCTATTGTATCGTTTAATTTCCTCACTGAGCTCGTCAAGCACAAAGGAAGCCCAGTCAAATTTTTGCCAATTATTTTCTGTGCAGGCCATTACTTTTAGCACCTTGTCACTCACACTTGTACTTCTCGTGGGACAAAGAAGAGTGCCCACTGTGAAAAGAACAAAATAGAATTCAAAGTTTCCATCTTCTTCATCACTCTTTATCTTCTCCGCAATTTGAGAATATGTCAGTGAAGTATAGTCCTTCGTCAGCTCATTTACTTCATCCTTGAAACCATCCAACTTCACTTTGGAGCCTTTATCTGGTAACCCAAGAACCCTCCTAACATCTGTACTAGTTACCTTCTTTGTCTTCCCCCTTATGGTGATTTGTTTACTTAGGGGGTCATATGCATGAATCAACTCCAGACATAAATCTCTGGGCAGCTTATTCAAAATAATACCAAGAAGATGACCAAACCCCATTTCTTCTACCTTGCACTTTAAATTTTCTTTGCCATTTATAAAGTTTGCCACTTCCTTGAATTTTGTGGGGGAGTACCGAGTAGAAAATGGGGACACATATTTCTCCTCCTTCTTCTTCTTCTCCTCTATCAGCTGTTCCTCCTTATTCCTGTACGGCTCCCTATTAGCATTACTCATCTCCTTCCAAATTGCTGAAGCTACATCTGTGATTGCTCCCATATTTTGATGCATCTCCTGCTTCTTTTGCTCCCAATATTCTCCCTTGAATACCTTCCAGCCAGTAACTTGTGCATTCTTTTTTCCCATCTTCTTCCATTATCCAATAATCACAAAGTCATTAGTTAGTACATTAAACAGCACTTCAAAATTCATACCATCCAATATTTCTTGTAACATAAACCCGAAAATTGTATACACACTAATTATTATTATTAAATCCTTAACTTTACTTGTCATACGACAGGACATCAAATTGTTACATGCAGGTTAATTGGATAATGACACCATTCTTCATGTAAATTAGCTAACATTCATTGTCAGGCCACAAAAGATCAGATTCCAACTTACATGAAATTATACAACAGAGGTGGTTAATTAACTACTTTTTCACATCAATTTCCTAACTTTCACACTCCAACATAGATCAAACAATTACACCGGAGAACAGTAGAAATTCAGCTAATTGCTCGTGTCAATTGCCTAATTTTCCTTGTGAGGCCGCTACAAACTAGATTCCCACAAACATGCAAAAATGCAACAGAGGTGGTTAATTAACTAATTGTTGTGGAAAATTTTCTAACTTTTTGAGTCCAACACGCATCAAATAGTTACACATAAGCTAAGTGGAAATCCAGCTCACTGGTGGTGTCAATTGCCTAATTTTACCAGTGAGGCAACTACACACCAAATTCCCACAAACTTACTGGGTAATTTACTGATTCTCCATCTAAATTGCCCAACTTGACAGATTTAACGAAATATGAAACCGGTAGACAGGAGCTAGGCGGATAATCCCCTAAATCCTCATGTCAATTGACTAATATCTCCTGTGAGGACCACTACGGATCACACGCCAACAAACATGAAATTTTGAATTGCAAGTTGTTACTTTGCTGATTGTTCATGTAAATTTCCTAACTTCCAGAGTCCAACACACATCAGCCAGTTACACAGAAGCTAAGTGGAAATTCACCCAATTGCTCGTGTCAATTGCCTAGTTTTCCTTGTGAGGCCGCTAAAAACTAGATTCCCAATAAGATGTAACTATGCAACAGAGGTGGTTAATTAACCAATTATTGTGGTAAATTTCCTAACTTTCTGAGCCAAAACACATCAAATAGTTACACATAAGCTAAGTGGAAATCCAGCTCACTGGTGGTGTTAATTGCCTAATTTTCCCTGTGAGGCAACTGCACACCAAATTCCCACAAACTTAGTGGGTAATTTATTGATCCTCCATGTAAATTGCCTTACTTGACAGATTCAATGAAATATGAAACCGTTAGACAGGAGCTAGGCGGATAATCCCCTAAATCCTCGTGTCAATTACCTAATTTCTCCTTTGAGGCCCACTACGGATGACATGCCAACAAACATGAAATTTTGAATTGCAAGTTGTTACTTTACTGATTGTTCATGCAAAATTTCCTAACTTCTAGAGTCCAACACACATCACCCTGTTACACAGAAGCTAAGTGGAAATTCAGCTAATTGCTCGTGTCAATTGCCTAATTTTCCTCGTGAGGCCGCTACAAACTAGATTACCACAAACATGCAACTATGCAACAGAGGTGGTTAATTAACTAACTATTGTGGTAAATTTCCTAACTTTCTGAGTCCAAAACGCATCAAATAGTTACACATAAGCTAAGTGGAAATCCAGCTCACTGGTGGTGTCAATTGCCTAATTTTCCCTGTGATGCAACTGTACACCAAATTCCCACAAACTTAGTGGGTAATTTACTGATTCTCCATGTAAATTGCCTAACTTGATAGATTCAATGAAATATGAAACCGTTAGACAGGAGCTAGGCGGATAATCCCCTAAGTCCTCCTGTCAATTGACGAATTTCTCCTGTGAGGCCCACTATGGATCACATGCCAACAAACATGAAATTTTGAATTGCAAGTTGTTACTTTACTGAATGTTCATGTAAATTTCCTAACTTCCAGAGTCCAACACACATCACCCAGTTACACAGAAGCTAAGTGCAAATTCAGCTAATTGCTCGTGTCAATTGCCTAATTTTCCCTGTGAGGCCGCTGCAAACTAGATTCCCACAAACATGCAACTATGCAACAGAGGTGGTTAATTAACTAATTGTTGTGCTAAATTTCCTAACTTTCTGAGTCCAACACGCATCAAACAGTTACACATAAGCTAAGTGGAAATCCAGCTCACCGGTGGTGTCAATTGCCTAATTTTCCCTGTGAGGCAACTGCACACCAAATTCCCACAAACTTAGTGGGTAATTTACTGATTCTCCATGTAAATTGCCTAACTTGACAGATTCAACGAAATATGAAACTGTTAGACAGGAGCTAGGCGGATAATCCCCCAAGTCCTCCTGTCAATTGACTAATTTCTCTTGTGAGGCCCACTACGGATCACATGCCAACAAACATGAAATTTTGAATTGCAAGTTGTTACTTTACTGATTGTTCATGTAAATTTCCTAACTTCCAAAGTCCAACACACATCACCCAGTTACACAGAAGCTAAGTGCAAATTCAGCTAATTGCTCGTGTCAATTGCCTAATTTTCCCTGTGAGGCCGCTGCAAACTAGATTCCCACAAACATGCAACTATGCAACAGAGGTGGTTAATTAACTAATTGTTGTGGTAAATTTCCTAGCTTTCTGAGTTCAACACGCATCAAACAGTTACACATAAGCTAAGTGGAAATCCAACTCACCGGTGGTGTCAATTGCTTAATTTTTCCTGTGAGGCAACTGCACACCAAATTCCCACAAACTTAGTGGGTAATTTACTGACTCTGCATGTAAATTGCCTAACTTGATAGATTCAACGAAATATGAAACCATTAGACAGGAGCTAGGCGGATAATCCCCTAAATCCTCATGTCAATTGACTACTTTCTCCTGTAAGGCCCACTACGGATCACATGCCAACAAACATGAAATTTTGAATTGCATGTTGTTACTTTACTGATTGTTCATGTAAATTTCCTAACTTCCAGAGTCCAACACAGATCAACCAGTTACACAGAAGCTAAGTGGAAATTCAGCTAATTGCTCGTCTCAATTGCCTAATTTTCCCTGTAAGGCCGCTGGAAACTAGATTTCCACAAACATGCAACTATGCAACAGAGGTGGTTAATTAACTAAGTTTTGTGGTAAATTTCCTAACTTTCTGAGTCCAACACGCATCAAACAGTGACACATAAGCTAAGTGGAAATCCAGCTCGCTGGTGGTGTCAATTGCCTAATTTTCCCTGTGAGGCAACTACACACCAAATTCCCACAAACTTACTGGGTAATTTACTGATTCTCCATCTAAATTGCCCAACTTGACAGATTTAACGAAATATGAAACCGGTAGACAGGAGCTAGGCGGATAATCCCCTAAATCCTCATGTCAATTGACTAATATCTCCTGTGAGGACCACTAAGGATCACACGCCAACAAACATGAAATTTTGAATTGCAAGTTGTTACTTTGCTGATTGTTCATGTAAATTTCCTAACTTCCAGAGTCCAACACACATCAGCCAGTTACACAGAAGCTAAGTGGAAATTCACCCAATTGCTCGTGTCAATTGCCTAGTTTTCCTTGTGAGGCCGCTAAAAACTAGATTCCCAATAAGATGTAACTATGCAACAGAGGTGGTTAATTAACCAATTATTGTGGTAAATTTCCTAACTTTTTAAGCCAAAACATGTCAAATAGTTACACATAAGCTAAGTGGAAATCCAGCTCACTGGTGGTGTTAATTGCCTAATTTTCCCTGTGAGGCAACTGCACACCAAATTCCCACAAACTTAGTGGGTAATTTATTGATCCTCCATGCAAATTGCCTTACTTGACAGATTCAATGAAATATGAAACCGTTAGACAGGAGCTAGGCGGATAATCCCCTAAATCCTCGTGTCAATTGACTAATTTCTCCTTTGAGGCCCACTACGGATGACATGCCAACAAACATGAAATTTTGAATTGCAAGTTGTTACTTTACTGAATGT